CATGACCATTATGTTATCATTGCATCATGCATAAGACTATCAAATCATATAAACTCAAGAAAGTAAAGAATTGTTTATATTCACAGGCACATCTTAAATAACTTTTTCTGGATTTCATTATTGGCAAAATCATCAATTATATTCTGAAAATCAATATTTCTTTTAATCAGACCGAATGTCAACAAGGCTAGGTTACACAATTTGTCTTGGCTCATTGTTGAACGGAGCTGGTTTTCACTTTTTTCAAAACAGAAAATGAACGTTCTCCTTCACAGTTAGTAGCTGGAATGTTAGGTAAAGGCGATACACTATGTCAACATTAGGGAAGGTTCTGAGATACTTGCATTCCTAAATGTTTCAAGCAGCTGAGGGCGCACATTTTTTCAGGTGGAGCTTTAATCTGATTTATATACCCAGAAAAATGAACTATTTCTTCAACAAATGTGTCCTGAACATCTGTTGAAAGGTGTTGTTGCAACTTTAATCCAGCTTCTCCAATTCTGCATCTGCATAGTAGTAATTTTTGAACAGAAATCCAAACTTGTCATTGAATTTGGTAGATTTCTTTTCTTTGTCACCAATTCTGTAATCAGTGAATCCAGAATGACGAAGTATGTAGCTGTCTTACATTTCTGCCTTGATAGCACACAATTTCATTGTCTGGCTCTTCAAAATTGCGTTTCTTCTTCCTTGACCGCTGATGATCAGCCGGTAACTGTAGTCTTCACCGCAGTTTAGCTTTCTCTTCAAACATTTCAAAAGCTTCACATTGCGAAGTGAGCTTACAAATTCCACTAAGCCTGCATAGAGGTTAGCACAAGTACCATTTCAATTTCAATTTTCTGAAGTGTCTTGCTCGTGGCATTTAACCGTTCAGTATACAGTCCCAAAGCACACAGAGTAAGGCCAATTCAAAATCTTCCAATTTTGATGCTAAGCTGGCTGCTTCGCTTCTGTAGTTGCTGTCTGGTCTTCATCTCTGCTATTTGGATCAAAGCAGAACGTATTTCAGCAAAGCTGTCTTCAAAGCATGTTTGCATCATGCTGCGCTGACCACCTTGTTGTTGATAATGGTTTGAAGACATCTCCATGAATGGTTGACTTGAGTATACTCCCAGCTGATGCGTTTGAAGCAGAGAAAAAATTAAGAGTGCTTGTAAAGTCCAAAAAATGAAACTGCAGCGACAACACTCCGCAGCACATGACCCACACGATTAAGAGAATGTGCTGATGCAGGGCACATATTCAGCAAATGGTTGATTTGCTTGATACGGGCTTGCAATCCATTATATTTACCCGACATTGTTACTTGCATTGTCGTAGCTCTGGCCACGGCAATCCATAATAGAGAGATCATGTTCAAGCAGAGTATCCAGTACTACATTCATCATTGTTTTCCATCATGGCCTGAAAGAGGGAATGAATTTTATAAAGCGCTCTACAGGCTTACACTGGAGTCGACAAAGCAAACAATGATGTCAATTGATCTGTATGTGAATATCTGGTGTGAATCTACACTTATTGCAAGTATTTGCAGTTTTCACAGCTCTATGATGTTATTGAGGACCTTCTAGTCATCGTTCAATAAATCATTGCATATAGTAGATGACATGTAAGATACAGTGCCTCTTCCTGCATTCCCAAGGCGTGACACATGATTTGCTAAGAATGGATCGAATTGTGCAACAGTTCTATGATCCCTAGGAAATTGCCATGTTTTCCGACCAAACCTATTCCAGAAAAGCACTCTTAGAGCTAGAATTTTACAACAGCAAACAACTCTTTCTAGAAGTTTTCTCCAATAAGTGCGCTCTTTTTCAGTTTGATTTTCAAATGAGAATCCAATAAGCCTTTTTTCTGTGCACGAAATACACTGGCTAAAATGCAGCTCTGTGAGGGGTGCTGTTTTCATAGTTCCTCGAAACGCTTGGAATTTTTCAGTCATTGAACCCCTGTGTGAGGTATTTTCTTTGGTAGAAAATAGCTTGCATGCTGAACAGTACACTTTTCCTGAGCTTTCAGAGTATACCATCCATGATCTTTTCACAGTTTCTGAATTTGCAAGCTTCATAAAACATAGATGACTTTAAACAACGACGACTTCCATCATCATAAATCCTTGCTGATTTCCAAAGCAGTGTTCAGAGTTTTGACTGAAGTTTTCTGCAATGAAAGCATTACATAGAGAATCTGGGATTACATTTGGCCATGAGGCAGGATCTTTTAAGACAAATCCTGTGGATGAAATGTCCGTTGAGACATTGAGAGGAGACACAAAAGAAGTAGATGCTGGCTGAGAAATAATGAAGGGAGGGCTTCCTGTATGATCTGACGTATCTGCAGATTCAACTGTACTGGTAACATCAGAAACTGTTTTCGTGAGCATGTCTGTGATCTTTCTGCAGCTTCCTACATCTTCCTTTTTCTGTTCTTCTTGAATTTTCTTCTTTCTTTTCTGTGACCCACTCGCATAAGAACGTCCAACATCACGTTCACGAGATGCCATAATGAGGATGTATCACTGTCTGTAATCATGCAAATACAAATTTTTCATTATCAATTATTATTAATTTTTTAATTATTATTAATTTTTTTTTCTGTCAATTGGGGGGATATGGCCCTTGTAGCCCCCTTTCCTCTGGCTGCGCATCTAAAAATTCAAAACGTTACCAGAAAGGAGTCATATACAGAACTTTTACCATAGATCAGGCTAGTGATTTGGGCTACGAATATTTTACTAATTCATCCTCCTTGATCTCCAATTTACTTAAACAGAAATCATACTGAGTCCAAGAACAATGCACAATGGTATTTATATTACCATTTTCATAACTAAACTAATCATTGTGTTTGCATGGCCTACCACCATAGATAAGGACATGAGAATTAAAGAATGCAGGGACAATTTTCAGTTTCACCCAACCAACGATTTTCTGATGTGGCTTATGTGTTTTCTGGGAAATATGTAGTAAATTAATTGATGTTCTACATCACTTCCGTCGCAACTTGAAAACTAAGCATTTGCGATGGAAGTGATGAAGAACATCAATCAATTGAGATCTGTTATTGAAATGATAAAGACTTAAAGACAGGACAAAGTGCTTTTAAAACCTACAAACGGAAGTCAGTTTGCGTTTTTAGGTTTTTCTTTATAGTATTTTTACCAAAAATGCGTCTTTACTGGTCCATGCGTCTTTACTGGTCCATGCGTCTTTACTGGTCAAGTAACCCTATCAGGTACCTCCCTTAACATTTAGAGGCGAAAACAAACATTTATCAACAACACTTCAGTTAATTTGTCACAGTACAAGTCTAGATAACGTGTAATTACTACAGAAAATTGGAGAGGAATCTCCCATACTCACCCATTAGCGAGAAAACACAGCTGTTCTGATGTAAACAAAGGTGTGTTGAGTGTTGCCATCTATGGTTAGGTTTATTTATTTTTATTTTATTTTATTTCATTATTTATTTTTGTTTTGATTAATTTTTAAAAATCAATTTTACTCTCCAAACACGAACTTTTTAGGTAGGGACCCCTTTGCACTTGCACCATGTGCACAGTCTTGGATGAGCCCCTGAACCCCTTGGACCACGGGGCCCCCAAATGCGCGGGGCCCTAGGCAAATGCCTAGTTTGCCTATGCGGTAATCCGGCCCTGGTTGCATCGTCTGCCTAGTAATTTTGCTTTCGTTGTGAGTGATTTTCGTGTGCAAGTTTGGTACTAGTCCCTCTAGGATTTTCCAGGTGTATATAATCATGTGTCTCTCCCGCATGCGTTCCAGGGAGTACAGGTTCAGGAACTTCACGCGCTCCCAGTAATTGAGGCGTTTTATCTCCGTTATTTGCACCATGAAGGTTCTCTGTACATTTTCTAGGTCAGCAATTCCACTTGCCTTGAAAGGTGCTGTTAGTGTGCAGCAATATTCCATCCTAGATAGAACAAGCGACCTGAAGAGTGTCATCGTGGGCTTGGCATCCCTAGTTTTGAAGGTTTTCATTATCCATCCTGTCATTTTTCTAGCAGATGCGATTGATACAATGTTATGGTCCTTGAAGGTGAGATCCTCCGACATGATCACTCCCAGGTCTTTGACATTGGTTTTTCGCTTTATTTTGTGGCAGGAATTTGTTTTGTACACTGATGAAGTTTTAATTTCCTCATGTTTGCCATATCGGAGTAATTGAAATTTCTCATCGTTGAACTTCATATTGTTTTCTGCAGCCTATTGAAAGATTTGGTTGATGTCTGCCTGGAGCCTTGCAGTGTCTGCAATGGAAGACACTGTCATGAAGATTCGAGTGTCATCTGCAAAATAAGACACGGTGCTGTGGCTGACATCGTTGTCTATGTCAGATATGAGGATGAGAAACAAGATGAGAGCGAGTACTGTGCCTTGTGGAACAGAGCTTTTCACCGTAGCCGCCTGAGACTTTACTCTGTTGACTACTACTCTTTGTGTTCTGTTTCTAAGGAAATTATAGATCCATCTACAACTTTTCCTGTTATTCCTTTAACATGCATTTTGTGCGCTATTACGCCATGGTCACACTTGTCGAAGGCTTTTGCAAAGTCTGCATATGTATTACATCTGCATTCTTTTTGTCTTCTAGTGCATCTAGGACCTTGTCGTAGTGATCCAGTAGTTGGGACAGACAGGAGCCACCTGCTCAAAACCCATGTTGCCCTGGGTTTTGTAACTGATGGGTATCTAGATGGGTGGCGATCTTGCTTCTTAGGACCCTTTCAAAGATTTTTATGATATAGGATGTTAGTGCTATCGGTCAGTAGTTCTTTGCTATTGCTTTACACTGGGCAGTATTTGATCATTCGTCTCTTCCTCTGCCAATACAAAACATTTGCCTTGTTCCAATTAACTTACGGGTTAAAGGTGAAGCTAACTTGTCAGAACGTCTACTCAATAATCTCAATTTTACTAAGTCTTTACTCACAATCTCTTCTTTATTCAGGCCTTTATAGAACTATTGATTCCCTTGTCTTACTCATCAACTCCTGCAATTTTAACATTTCTTGCAGTTGGCCATGGACACCGACTAACCAGGTCTGATACTTGCGTCTCGTTAGCAAAACAATTTGGAAGCATGTCAGCCATTTTTTTTTTAAATTTCTGATTGTGATAGTCACATTCAGTCAATTTAGAGACTGAATTTTTCATCATCTGAATATCTGTTGGCCTCCTCTTTCCATCATCTCTTCCTTTGATCTCACTCTCTTCCTCCATGCACCACTCGTGGATAACATTCAATAACACATGCTTGCTAAGCATCCAGAATGCCATTAACTGTGATGCAAGTGAAAAAAACAATTTAATGAGACCCTTCAGCACTGAACCTACAAGGAGGAATTAACTAGCAATGCATCCCTTCTCCTCCTCCTCCTCACTATGAATTGAAGCTAGAGAAGGGGACAGTGAAGAGCGTAGATCACATTACCTGGGAAGAGGCTCCAGCCTCATTCAGTGAAGAGCATCAAAGTCCGAATCTTGATCCCATTTAGATGTTGCACATCGAATCCTGCAGTCTTTAAAGACAATCTCCACCACTGCCTATTGCCATCCCATCTAAATACAGTGGACCCCCGGTTTACGATCAGCTCCCATTGCGACCAATTATGTAAGTGTATTTGTGTAAGTGCGTTTGTATGTGTATGTTTGGGGGTTTGAAATGGACTAATCTAATTCACAATATTCCTTATGGGAACAAATTCGGTCAGCACTGGCACCTGAAAATACTTCTGGAATGAAATAATATCGTAAACCGGGGGTCCACTGTACTTGCCTTTTTTGTTTTGCTAGCTTACCAGCCTAGCCTTTCTGATGGTCTGCCTACTCATCAGGAAGTTTCCATGCCTGTCTAAATTTTTGGTTGAGCAAATAACCAAACCTTATTTATGACAGTTTGCTCTTCTGCATTTTGTCAGAAAATTGATATCAATTTTGGATTTTTCTAAATTTAGCACGGGTAAATTTGAATAATACAATGAAGTGTGTAATAAAATGTGATGCTGATATGACCCTTTCCAGAAATTTTGAGTGAGGGGGTGTTTTCATGTTTTTAAGTGTTTATTCTTGAGTAACATAAAAATTAGTACAACTGGAGTGATTTTAAGCAATTTTGACAATCCAGCTGATAGTGTATAAATGCAAAAGGGAAGCAAAATAGGAAGAAAAAAGTTAAGATTACAGCTATTATGTGAGTAGTTCCACATTACTGGTAATGTTGCAGACATTTTGTGCTGAAGAGGAACCTGACGAACCTAGAAGCATTGACTTGAGTCTAGAGAAGCTGATGCCTTACCATCCAGTACTGCAAGGTAAGAGAGACTTGAGACACATTACAGAATTTTTTAGTTCTCCAGTACAACCATCACGATCAGTGCATGAGCTTCAACCATGCACCTTTACAAACAATCCATAACCTTTATCTCAGCTAATGATCCTCAAACTTCCACCTAAGCCCAGTAGGGAGCAACTAGCCCTCTCCACTCCTATCAAAATCAACTTGCATCAGCAACCACAATTTAAGGGAAATATTTTTTTTTATTAACACAGTGGCCGATTCCCACTAAGGCAGGGTGGCCCAAAAAAGAAAAACTTTCACCATCATTCACTCCATCACTGTCTTGCCAGAAGGGTGCTTTACACTACAGTTTTTAAACTGCAACATTAACACCCCTTCTTCAGAGTGCAGGCACTGTACTTCCCATCTCCAGGACTCAAGTCTGGCCTGCCAGACTTAGTAGTATTTATTAAATCTTTGTAGCTCTATTTTATTAAATATAATACATCACTGCATCAATACAAAAACATGGAACATAACCCTATTTTACCCACACATTCCTCAGTGTACACACATTTTTTATTACTCAACATTTTCAGGAATGTTATCTGAAGGTCAGCTTTGGATAACATGGGCACCAGGAAAACAGCTGTCTTTCCATAACTATGCCTTATAACATGCTTTTTTTTGTCTCACTTCAGCCCTAACTGTGTGGTGATTATCCATGAAGACTTATTGCAGAGCAGAATTTGTCTTGACACTTGAATTTAAGAAGTTACCTGGCAGATGTATATTAGTTGTGTCCAACATGATATATGGGCTATTAACTTCACTAACACTGGGTTCACACCAGCAACAGTGCACATAGACCTACCTGGGAGTTCAGCTCAAGTGGACGTCAGCCAATCATCAACTGCTGGTGTTCCTGAATAGAAATTTGGAGAATCCCCTTATCTCTGAGGATACTACCAATATTATTCATCTTTGTCTTCTGTTCCTCAAGGAGACAATTTAAATCTTGGTGTTTTTGGGCTCCTCTTCAAGAAGGTAGGCTATAGATTAATTTTTTTTTTTTGTGTGTGTGTGTGTGTTTTTCTTTTTCTTTTGATTACAGTTTGCATTTTCAGAACATGGAAGGCTGGACCCATGCTCCTGATAAGTCATTTTCCTGATAAGTGAGCTGAGCAGCAGTACATCAAGCTGGGGACTGGCGTCAATCTAGAATGGTATGGAGTGTCATCCTATCTGCCCAAAACATCAGAATGAGGCAAGCGATTTATAGGTCTAATTCTGAAGATGGGTTTGCAGACTAATAAAAGATAGGAGGTGAGAAAGCTAGACTGAATAGCTGGTAAGTAAATTATTATTTTAAATTATTATTATAAGCAAGTGTGTAGGACGTTTTGAGCCAAGAGAGAGAGTAATTGTGGCACGGGAACTAAATGCTAAAGTAGGAGAAACATTTAGAGAGGGTGTGGTAGGTAAGTTTGGGGTGCCAGGTGTAAATGATAATGGGGAGCATTTGATTGAACTTTGTACAGAATGGGGTTTGGTTATTGGCAACACATATTTTAAGAAAAAAGAGGATAAATAAGTATACAAGATATGATATAGGGCATAATGACAGTAGTTTGTTGGACTACATATTGGTAGATAAAAGACTGTTGGGTAGACTTCAGGATGTATATGTTAACAGAAGGGCCACAGATACATCAGATCACTTTTTAGTTGTAGCTACAGTGAGAGTAAAAGGTAGATGGGATACAAGGGAAATGGAAGCAGCAAGTGAGAGAGAGGTGAAGGTTTATAAACTACAGGGGGAGACAGATAGGGTAAGACATAAACAACTGTTGGAGAACATATGGGCTAGTGTGAGTATAGGCAATGTGGTAGATGTATGGGTTAAGTTTAAGAATATAGTGTTAGAGTGTTCAGCAGAAGTTTGTGGTTACAGGAAAGTGGGTGCAGGAGGGAAGAAGAGCGATTGGTGGAATGATGATGTAATGAGAGTAGTAAGAGAGAAAAAGTTAGCATATGAGAGACTTTTACAAAGTAGAAGTGATGCAAGGAGGGAGGAGTATATGGAGAGAAAAAGAAAGGTTAAGTGAATGGTGAAGCAATGTAAAAGATAGCAAATGAGAGAGTGGGTGAGATGTTATCAACAAATTTTGTTGAAAATAAGAAAAAAATTTGGAGTGAGACTAATAAGTTGAGAAAGCCTAGGGAACGAATGGATTTGTTACTTAAAAATAGAAGAGGAGAGTTATTAAAAAGAGAGTTAGAGGTATCGGGAAGATGGAGGGAATATTTTGAGGAATTGTTAAATGTTGATGAAGATAGAGAAGCTCTGATTTTGTGTATATAGAGCAAGAAGGAATAACATCTTATAGGAGTGAGGAAAAAAACAGTTGTGAGTGTGGGGGAAGTGCATGGGGAAGTGGGTAGAATGAAAGGGGGTAAAGCAGCTAGGATTGATGGGATAAATATAGAAATGTTACAAACAGGTGGGGATATAGTTTTGGAGTGATTAGTGTTTCTATTTAATAAATGTATGGAAGAGGGTAAGGTGCCTAGGGATTGGCAGAGAGCATGCATAGTTTCTTTGTATAAAGGCAAAGGGGAAAAAAGAGAATGTAACAATTATAGGGGAATAAGTCTGTTGAGCAACCACCCAGGGAGGTACTACCATCCTGTCGAGTGTAAAATGAAAGCCTGTAAAATTGTTTTACATGACGGTAGGATAAATGGTGCCTTTTTTCTGTTTCATAAACATGCAAGATTTCAGGTACATCTTGTTGCTTCTATTACACTTAGGTCATGCTACATATGCATATACAAGCACGTATATACATACCCCTCTGGGTTTTCTTCTGTTTTCTTACTAGTTTCTGTTCTTGTTTATTTCCTCTTATCTCCATGGGGAAGTGGAACAGAATTCTTTCTCAGTAAGCAATGCATATCATAAGAAGCAACTAAAATGCCAGGAGCAAGGGGTTAGTAACCCATTCTCCTGTATACATTACTAAAGTTAAAAAGAGAAACTTTTGTTTTTCTTTTTGGGTCACCCTGCCTCAGTGGGATATGGCCAGTTTGTTGAAAGAAGAAATCTGTTGTGTACACAGTGGTACCCCGAGTTTTGGCCATAATTTCGTTCCAGAAGGCTGTTTAAGTGCCGTTATTAAATGAATTTGTTCCCATAAGGAATAATGTAAATTAGATTAGTCCATTTCAGACCCCCAAAAATACACTTACGAAAGCACTTAAAATAATACACTTACATAATTGTTTGAGTTGGGAGCTGTACGAAACTCAGGGTACCACTGTACCTAGTAAAGTGTACGGCAGAGTTATTATTGAAAGAATTAAGAGTAAGATGGAGAGCGGGATAGCAGATGAACAAGGAGGCTTCAGGAAGGGTAGGGGGTGTGTAGACCAAGTATTTATAGTGAAACATATAGGTGAACAGTATTTAGATAAGGGTAAAGAATTGATGAGGGAAAAAAGGTGAGTGGTGCGTTGAGGTATATGTGGAGTCAAAAAACGTTATTATGGAGGCAAAGAGGGTATGTATGAAAGTATAGTAGTCCAAACTCTTATATGGGAGTGAAGTTGGGTAGGTTTAATGCAAGCAGCGAGGAGACGGTTGAGCAGTGGAATGTCTTTTAAGGGCAAGTGTGGTGTAAATATTAGCAGAAAATTGAGTGTGGAATTAGGAGAAGGTTAGTTAATAAAAGTATTAGTCAGAGGGAGGGAGGGTTGTTGAGGTGGTTTGTCATTTAGATGAATGATCAAAGTAGATGACAGGAAAGATATAAATCTATAGGGGAGGAAGGGGGTAGGGGCGTTCTCAAAAGGTTGAGAGATGGGGTAAAGGAGGTTTTGTGGTAAGGGCCTTGGACTTCCAGCAACGTGCTGCTGAGGTGTTAGATTAGGAGTGAATGGAGACGAAGGTCTTGGGACTGACGATCTGTGGAGTGTGAGAAGGGTAATATTTAGTGAAGGA